CTAAGGAGTGGCTCCGTAAGAAGCATCTCAAGGTCCTGGAGTGGCCTAGCCAGTCTCCAGACCTGAACCCAATAGAAAATCTTTGGAGGGAGCTGAAAGTCCGTATTGCCAGCGACAGCCCCGAAACCTGAAGGATCTGGAGAAGGTCTGTATGGAGGAGTGGGCACGTATGATCTAGGAAACGTATGATCTCTGTAATTACAAACAAAGGTTTCTGTACCAAATATTAAGTTCTGCTTTTCTGATGTATCAAATACTTAAAATCATACAATGTGATATTCTGGTTGAAGTGTACCTATGATAAAATTACAGACCTCTATATGCTTTGTAAGTAGGAAAACCTGCAAAATCGGCAGTGTATCAAATACTTCCCACGGGGTGTATGAAAAAAATAAAAGAAATAATGTGTGCACTCACTAACTGTAAGTCGCTCTGGATAAGAGCGTCTGCTAAATGACTAAAATGTAAATGTACTTGTTCTCCCCACTGTATACACTACCAGTCAAAAGTTTGTACCCACCTACTCATTCAAGGGTTCTTTATTTTTAATATTTTTTACATTGTAGAATAATAGCGAAGACATCAAAACTATGAAATAACACATATAGAATCACGTAGTAAACATTCTTTTTTAAAGAAATTAAAAATATATTTTATATTTGAGAATCTTCATGTAGCCACCCTTTGCCTTGATGACAGCTTTGCACACTCTTTTTTGGTTACTACATGATTCCATATGTGTTATTTCATAGTTTTGATGCCTTCACTATTATTCTACTATGTAAACTTTTTTATTTTTTTTATAAAGAAAAACCCTTGAATGAGTAGGTGTGTCCAAACTGTTGACTGGTAGTGTAGGTCTACTATATAAGATCTCTGTCTCTTTCTGTAAGTCGGAGCTCTCGGTCCAACACTCAAGAGTGTAGGGTCGACCAGCCTCATTATTGCAAAAATTAATCGATAACAAATGAAGAAATGACAAAGTCTCTCTCACTTGATTGGAATTTCCATGACTAGGCACCCCAGATGGGACCCAAACTCCATCTGCTGACGGCTCCTGAGGACCTAGGTTAACCGTGCACGGGGGCCACACCAAATGGCTCAAGGAGCCCGCACTAATCAGTGACCTGCCTAAGATCTGAAGGAGGGTTCGGCGGGTTGGATACAGTGTCCTGAACAGACACAGATAAATAGGGGGAGACGGACATTTCTTTAAAACAATTATTATTATATATTTTTTTTTTGAGAAAATTGAGTTCAGAGGGTACTGCCATCTAACGTTAACATCCAAATCTGTGTTTACTGGATAAAAACTAGAATCTGTGTGAACTAGTTAAGATCATTTAACGTTAGCGTCCAAACCATGTGGGAACTAGTTAAGATTATTTAACTTTAACTGTATAAATTGCGCCTAACAGAAATGTAAACTACTCAGGGAGTGGAACGTGCGGAACAAGAAAATAATATAGACAGTATGGATTTGCCTAAGATAGAATTGTTTGTGCTATACTGTTGCATGATGAGCGAGGAAGAGGGCTGGGTAGCCTAATACATGGAAAAGAAGGAGCTGCACGGGGTTGCCGGCAGTGGAGGTGCCGAGAGGAAAGATGGACTTTGAATTATTAACGACATGAGGCTGAAAGCTGAAGACGGATATCTCATTAACTGGGCTTGCGTGTGGACTTCCATTTACAATTACAAGATGACAGACTGAATTGGCTGGATTAAGTGATGTTTAGGAAACGCAAAAAGCGTGTGGGCGTTGTGACCATCCTTCCCCAAGTTCCTGACTGAAAAATAAATGGCGAAGATATGTAGAAAATACTTTTAACAGCTTGATTTGTGAGTTTAATTAGCATGTTATAGTTGTTTAAGGTTGCTTTGATGTGATTTGTTTTGATGATTGTTTTGTAAGGGAGATGGACTGCTTGAAAAGCATTTCCTGCTGTTGTTTTATTTAAGATTGATGGAAAGTTTATTTTTATTTTTAGAATTGTCTTGAAATTATACGTTTGAAGTAAATTAGCGTGAAGTCAATCAATCAATCAATCAATTTTATTTTATATAGCCCTTCTTACATCAGCTAATATCTCGAGAGTGCTGTACAGAAACCCAGCCTAAAACCCCAAACAGCTAGTAATGCAGGTGTAGAAGCACGGTGGCTAGGAAAAACTCCCTAGAAAGGCAAAACCTAGGAAGAAACCTAGAGAGGAACCAGGCTATGAGGGGTGGCCAGTCCTCTTCTGGCTGTGCCGGGTGGAGATTATAACAGAACCATGCCAAGATGTTCAAAAAATGTTCATAAGTGACAAGCATGGTCAAATAATAATCAGGAATAAATCTCAGTTGGCTTTTCATAGCCGATCATTAGAGTTTAAAACAGCAGGTCTGGGACAGGTAGGGGTTCCATAACCGCAGGCAGAACAGTTTAAACTGGAATAGCAGCAAGGCCAGGCGGACTGGGGATAGCAAGGAGTCACCACGGCCGGTAGTCCCGACGTATGGTCCTAGGGCTCAGGTCTCTCAGTTGGCTTTTCATAGCCGATCATTTAGAGTTGAAAACAGCAGGTCTGGGACAGGTAGGGGTTTCGTAGCGCAGGCAGAACAGTTGAAACTGGAATAGCAGCAAGGCCAGGCGGACTGGGGGCAGCAGGGTGTCATCATGCCCGGTAGTCCTGACGTATGGTCCTAGGGCTCAGGTTCTCAGAGAGAAAGAGAGAAACGAGAGAATTAGAGAGAGCATACTTAAATTCACACAGGACACTGGATAAGACAGGAGAAGTACTCCAGGTATAACCAACTAACCCCAGCCCCCCGACACATAAACTACTGCAGCATAAATACTGGAGGCTGAGACAGGAGCGGTCCGGAGACACTGTGGCCCATCCGAAGAAACCCCGGACAGGGCCAAACAGGAAGGATATAACCCCACCCACTCCGCCAAAGCACAGCCCCGCACCACTAGAGGGATATCCCCAACCACCAACTTACAATCCTGAGACAAGGCCGAGTATAGCCCACAGAGGTCTCCACACAGCACAAACCAAGGGGGGGGGGGGGCGCCAACCCAGACAGGAAGATCACGTCAGTAACTCAACCCACTCAAGTGACGCACCCCTCCCAGGGACGGCATGAAAGAGCACCAGCAGGCCAGTGACTCAGCCCCTGCAACAGGGTTAGAGGCAGAGAACCCCAGTGGAGAGGGGAACCGGCCTGGCAGAGACAGCAAGGGCTGTTCGTTGCTCCAGCCTTTCCGTTCACCTTCACACTCCTGGGCCGACTACACTCAATCATATGACCTACTGAAGAGATAAGTCTTCAGTAAAGACTTAAAGGTTGAGACCGAGTCTGCGTCTCTCACATGGGTAGGCAGACTGTTCCATAAAAATGGAGATCTATAGGAGAAAAGCCCTGCCTCCCGCTGTTTGCTTAGAAATTCTAGGGACAATTAGGAGGCCTGCGTCTTGACAAGTCTATGACATTTGCTTAAAGGGAATTAATTTGGTATTGGAATGAATAAGAGTACTGTTGTAATTTAGGGACTCCTTTAGACCTTCCTAAATTGATAAAATACAAGCGAGCGTAGTTTACAAAATTATACTAAGCTGCTCTGAAGGAGTTATGACTGTTTCACAATACGGCTGA